TGCACAAAGATTCTACAGTAAGTACTGCTTTGAAGCACAAAGAAAGACTCCATTCGCTTTACCTTTGATCGCCGTGGTGTTCATCCCTTGTGGAATGGGCAAACAGCACGAGAAAGGAGCATTACACCGGGTCAGATGCGCTGTGGCATCAAGGGTCTGTTTTCTTTTTTCAACGTTAATCTTTATCTTCTCAACTCCTACTTCAATGAAGGAATCGTTGCTATAGAACCGTAATTTTTATTGTCTGGCAAATGTTTGTGATGACTGGTTGATAACTTTAACTTTATTTGCCAGTTCGCAAACTGAATTCTTATGCACAACTACTCTATGGAAGGCCTGCGACGTAAAAGTATAATGCTTAGATCAAAGTTTCCGCTTTTTGACTTTGGGTACTGCAGGACTTGGAACTTGATATAGGAAATTTAATTTGGGTTTTTCCACTTACAAGGTTACGTATTTAATGTTGTGTTTAATTTATTTCCTAGATTCATTGCAACGTCCAACGTTACGGGTTGAATCGTTCTAAGTAGCAGGTCTCTCTCTCTTTCTCTCCCCTCACTCAAAGCTTAGCGATGTATCACGTATTCAGAATTTCATCCAGAGGTTGATTGCACATCTTGTACTCTTGTACATAACAATCTCTATGAAGCAAAGAAGGCATATTTCTTGAGAAACTGAGAGTCTCTCAGCTAGTCAAGATGTTTTGCGTCTTTTGTGGAACCAGAACGTTTATTACCGAGTTCTCAAGAGCTATCCTCAGACTCTGATGAATCCAGTGCACGCCCTTCATCCCAGTTTCCTCAAGATATATGTTTCTACTATTCTCGTGAGTACACCTAAGTGATATTGTTCAGCAAAAATTGTGCACGCATTTCTCATCTCCACCATGTGTGAGTCAAGCTCCGCCCATCTCACCCTCCTTAATTTCATCGTTTCTGATATTTTCATACAAATTATAAAGCTCTTCATTAGGCAGTCTTGATCCCCTTTTAAATCTTTCCTCTCAGGTTCATGCAATCTCGTCAGCTTTGTGTTCTCAGACAAAACCAGTCTTTACTCCAGTAAAATATAATAAGTAAACTTATAAATCTGAACAATTTTAGACAGACTGAAAACAGCAGAATCTAAACTGCATTGTAGCTAGCATTCCTCAGATTTATTCTGTACTTTAAGTAACTCCTACATACATAAGTAAATGACCCGTATTATCATAGCTGTTGACGGACATCACGCCAGACCGAAACTCATTGACTTGTTATTTGTCACTCGTTTTGGTGCTTTTATGGCTACTTTGCACTAATGCCTGCTGTTTCCGGACCAGTTCAATTCGATATTAGCCTGGTCGTAAAACAGAACGAGACATAGGCCTGCTGTACACTAACACAAATATACGTCCTTAGTGTAACAGTGGTTTTTGTGACTATAGCGCCTCGAAGTACGATTTTTGATATAAAGAAGTTTGAAACTACACATCCACATTTGACGTACTGTAGCTGAATTTTTGGGGTTTTCGTTTGAGACAGGACATCTGAGACTTACGTTCGTGAAGAAAATATTGAGCTCAATATATATTTTGTCATACGAAATTAAGTCACCTTTCATATCTACGTGCATTGATGAATGTAACCTTAAATTTAGTTCGATTCAACGTAGAGCATGTGCCTACATTTATATGTAATAAACAAGAACATGTAAACAATATATTTACACTTTCTGGCTTTGCAGAAAATGTTTTGTACAAAAACTCTCAGAATGCAGGGTTGGGTACCGAACAACAAACACGGAAATTAATGCCAAAACATGTCAGGTGATCATTTTAGACACCTTTTACATCTTATTACCTGCTATGATATAATTGTAAAATTGTGATTTTTTTAGTAATGAAACATGTTTTATGTGCGTTACATACTACAATCCCGTTTTGTAAGACTATTAATGCAGAACAAATTCTGTGTACGTTACAGATATGGAATGTAATTTCTGTCAGGCAAAAAGGCTGTCACACGACGTTCATTCGTTTTCTACGATCTTGAAGATAATTACCATCTGATACTCCTCCTTATATAATGAACAGAGGTAAGGAATAATTGCAGAAAATAGAAATCCCAGAAAATGACAATCATTATCGTAAATTTCAAATTAAAATCGGATTGAAATAAAAAGTTCATTATTCTCTCTTCATCTTATTATATAGAGGATGAATAAAATACTTTACTCAAAGGATTGAACGGTGTGTACCTAAAATCAGTCTGGAATATTAAAAAATTTTATTAATTCAAAATTGTGATCAGTCTGTATTAAAGTTGCGAAGTTATTTTCTCAGAGATGTTACAGGGCAGGGGTAAAATAGTTTGTCTGTAGTATTTTAATTTCTAGTACTTTGTAACCTAGACTAGGAGAAAAAGGTATGGAAGTAGACAGTAAGCAGAATTTACTGAATTTATTCTTTTCTTGATTTTATTATATACAACGTTGCCTTTCTTTCTTTCCTCCAAATTGAATTAAAGTGTTTGGATAAGAACATTCCATAGTCCTAATAAAGTTCTTTAAAATATCTGGATTGAAAGACGTAAGATTGTATCATCAACATTAAAGGCATTGATTTGTGCAATTTATTCTTCCAAAAGCGAAGCACCAAACAGCTCTAAATGTGAATACGTTCCAGTGCTTAACATAGATTCGAACTCGAATCTGTGAAATGGGAGCACAGATCAGAGGATACTCGGGTGTCTTTTCTGTTTCCCGTAGCAGAAGAACAGAATTTGTTGCATCGATTTCAATCTCACGGGGACTACGAACACGGAACAAGGACGGCTTCAGGAATTGTCGTAATCACTTTCAACTTTTCTAACGTGAGAGATATTCATACGTGCAGGATTTGGGGTTTTCACGGCTGTGAGTCTGAAGATGACTGTCTTCTGGGATGTCGCGGCGTGTAGTCTGGTAGATGTTTACCGACGTTTTACTGGTCCTTGCTGCCTCCATCATCAGAGCGATCGCACTGATGATGGAGGCAGAAAGAATCTCTGAAACGCCTATAATCTTCTACCAGACTACACGGCGCGACATCCCAGAATGTTGAACTGAGACATACTAAAAGCGACTCATCGAATTGATGTACAGTGGTTTTGATTTAGACGCCGCCATTTTTTTTTCTTTTCCTGTCCGTGGCGTAGTTTTTGGAGAGCGCAGCTGCTACTGTGTGCTTTAGTTCGGTTACGCTCGGTCTGGGTGTGTGATGAACCTCTTGCGGGATCTGTTGACATGAATATTTTAGCAATTTCGTCAAACTCTGATTTAAAATTTCGTGTGATACATATGCAATGGGGAACAAGATGGCACCCTATCTGTTTTACTCTAGTGCTTTATACGTTTTATTTCCGTCTACAAAGTTTACAGTCCCACGTATTTGGCTACATTTCGGAGGGCATCCAACTGAAACGATTCTCCGTTCGTCTTATATGTTCATACAAGCGAGCTTAAAAAATGTGATTTCTAAAACTCTGCAACCTAATTTATAAAACATACTGTGTTCTTTGTTTGTAAATTAATTTGAAACTTCTGGAGTGCATAACAAATTTGCAGTGACGTATACATTCTCGTTGTGTGAACTGTGCTTTAACGCAGTCATCGCGATTGTAGAAGCAGATTTGCCGTCAGTGACGATCCAGGCGTGTCTTAATAAATGGATCCAGAAGTGCTGTAAGTATTTCATTATGAATATAGGTTTTATTATTAAATATTTCGAAGTTTTGAACGTGTAAAGTTGCCGGCATTGTGAAATTTCTGTTTTCATTTGCGCAGTGAATTGGTAATAAATCCTATTCGTTTTTTTCTAAAAGTTTATCTATTTTCTCTTAAAAACAATCCACTTTTCTTCTAAATAGAATGATTCTATTTCATGTACCTTTTCCTCGCCATAATTGTCGTGGAACTGTTCTCGCAGGAAAAAACATGCAAATGCAGTCTAGTTAATCGTGTTATGATCATTTATAACAGTGCGCCATTTCCAGTTCTAGGCAAATTCAGATTTATAAAAATATTAAAAACGTGATGGCTATTAATTGAAGATGTATAAGGCTAAAAATGCCCGGCTGACTTTGAATTAAAAATTTATGCGTCATATTCGTGCTCTTCGCCAAAACACGTTCGTCAAGTTTCAACATGGCCTTTCCGCGAATAACTGCGGATACTCCTGAGTCTTGCATTGGCTCGTAGCTTCATTTGTTTACGTTATGACTACTTGCCGCTGCCTTCGATGTTTCCACTTTTACCATGAGAGGGCACTGATGTGGGAAGACGACGCGGTGGGAGCTCATTCGGCGCAACAGGGGGTTAATAACGAGAGGGAGATTGGCGCGTGCGATACAGTGGAGGAGAAGGGTGTTGACCGGCATCCGGACCGAGGTTCGCGGGTTGGCCGCTGGTGAATAAGGCGTGGGTAAGTTACAGTTTGTTTGCATTTAATCATTTACTTGTCCGTTTAATCTAATTTTACTGAGACGTATTATGAAGATCATGCCGGTTGTACACATTGGTCACGCTGTAGTACCTGTTGTAGTTAGTTAGAGGTCTGTAACTTATTAGTGCTGTACGTATATGACTTACACATTTCGAATTTAATTGGAGATGGTCCCTCAAATATTGGCGTTTTGGAAATCTAGTTTGATATAACTCTGAGCTCGGCTTTGCGTCGGTGGGTCCTGAAGATTGTCCATCTGATTAATGTTTAACGATCCACAGGTTTAATTATACGGATTAACATTTACTGTTTGTTCCGTTCACACAAGCTTCTGCACTTATTACTCTATATTACTGCATACATTTGTTTATAGCCATCGTTATATTTCCATACTATTATTAAATTATATGCAAACATGAAACCCAGGGCTACATTTGTCGTGCATTACAACAATCTGAACACCCCACCCCCCTTTCCATAGATGGTTTGGTCTTGCTACAGAGTGACCTTGGCTAATTTGTGTGTTACCTCTCCTACTTTATGACATCACTGCTTCTGCGCAGTACTGTTCGGCGCAGTCTCGGTATTGCGCAAGTCAGTACCACACTACGTGGCCCACTGAGGCAGAGGGAGGGAGGGTAGACATTTCTCGCACCTGATGGACAGTGACCTCTGTAGACTTTTCCCGTTTATACCACACCGGTCATGCGCAACCGGTGTGCCACGAAATTTTCACCTATTATAATTATAACCATAATGAGATAATTGTTTTCCTTGTTTTTTGCTGTGTCTGTTTCAATTTTCTTAATAATGGTCGGACAGACAAGATCTACCGAATTGAATTGAAAAGTAACACAACCGCTTTGCAGCAAAACATATATACAGTTCATAGATCAGGAGAAAATCCCTGCTAAGAATTCGATATACGCGCATGCGCAAGATTTCGCGGTGAGTGACGACCGATCCTAAAAGCATTCGTTCCACATCCACTGAACGAACAACAGACGACAGGCTTTCGTGTGTTCAGATGGGTACAGCTTTAAGTTTACCTCACAGTGGCATAGTGATTTAATCTAGAATATTATCGCAACACCCACAGAACACATTAGAGGTGCGCTCACTACACGCTACTCTTAACTGCTTGATGTTTTCAGTCTGTGTGCAGTAGAGTAAAACTCTGACGTATCGCACTTCCCACCAATAGCAGCCCTCTAGTCCAGCTGATAAGTAACATTCTCCCCGCACCGCACCAGAAACGATTTCCCCCAGCAGGGTTTTTCTCGTGATCTGTGGACAGAACCTCCACCTTACTTTTTATTGCTACTGTATGTATTTTTCTGCAAAGAGAGACGACAGTAAATGGGAACCACATAGCTATTAAATTGATTATAGATTTTAATAAGTATATAGTTATTGATATATAGTTTTATTTTAAATCTGATATTTTTTTCTTCTCACATTCATTGTTTGTAAAAGACGGCTATATTCCATATGCAGTGGGATCTTTGGGTCGCGGGAAACTGATTTGGATACTGTGAAATAATTACTTATAAAACTATGAATAAGTATCTTTAAGTTTTAATGGTTATACATAGTTAATAAATTTAATTTATTTAAAATAATGAATATATTTAAAGTAAATGACAATAATAAAGATGAATAATTATGACTCTTCGACGATACTTTGTGTGCCGCGAGTGTAGAAAGTTTGCCTAACACTGTATTGCATTGTCACTCTTTAAGTCAGTCGCTAGCTCGCCACAGTTTCCAGCTCCTGAAACCGGAATTTAAAAAAATACAAATTATATATTAAATCGGAGAGAGTAGTAAACACAAAATTGTATGTGACTGACAGACAGGTCGGTGACAAGAATGAAGATAAATGTCTTGTGGGCTGTAGCTCCGTGTAGTCTGGTAGAAGTTTGCTTGGTCGATCACTCATAGTAGACTAACGAAAGTTGTAAAATCGAGGTCTGAAAATACATGATTCTGCATCCGATAATTATCAGTAATACTCGCATTATTAAATTCTGTACACACTCAGTGATACTCTACACATTTTATCGGAACAATTAGGCCAATAATTAAAGTGTCAATGAAAAAAAGGATCACGATAATAGGCCCTGAAATCAGGCTGCGTTTTAACGACGTCTTCAGTTTTACTTTGAGTACACACAGACAATAGACTAAACGCCCTACATGTAACAGATACTTTACAATGAAATAAATTAACTACACGTTTTCATGTATGAAGTCATGGACAGTGTGATGCTACTCGACGAGGTGAACTAAGAAAACTCGAAATTTTCACCCCTAAAAGTCGGGTCCACACTTCAGTCTAGAGCCTTTTTAGTGTGATTTACAGGATAGGCGAAGGAAGAAGTTTATGAAAAAATCTTACGAAAAGAAGAGATGGGATGGTGGGACACATTCTGATGCACGCAGGATTCCTTAATTTGGTAATGGAAGGAACAGTTGAAGGGAAGAATTGTAGGGGGAGACAAAGATTGGAATATGTGACGCAGATTTTTGAGGATGTGGGCTGCAAGAAACATGCGGAATGATTGGCGCAAGATAGGCGAAAATGGAGGACCACATCAAACCAGTCGAAAGACTGATGACAAACAAACAACATATAGCATTACAGTTTACGTTTCGAGACGCAATTTCATAAAGGGACCACAACACTTTTCATTAGCGGGTCTAACTGCTGACGTAGACCGATGCCAGCTTTGAACTTTAATCATTAACGGATGCTATACTAGTTAGATCATAGTTCACAATTGAACAGTATCACTTATTCACAGAGCTCGTCTGACTATCAGGGTCAATCTTTCCACACAGGTTTAAGGGCTGTCCTTGGAATAACCCATAAACTCTCCTTCCCAGCCCCTAACAAGCGCGTGGAGCAGGGTAGTCCTTGGGATTCTAATATTACGCTGGTTGTCAAGAAATTTCCCGCCTTTATGGAACTAGGAACCAGAAAGTTCATTACCGTGTTCGCCACAGATTGCCACTGGTCCTTATCTTCAGCCTGTCCAGTTGACACACACCCGTACTATTTATTTAAATAATACGCTTCCATCTGTGCCTAAAAAGTAAAGCTGTCTCCCTGCACGCCATGTAGGCGCTTAGTCGGAGAATGTACTCGCTGAGCTATGTCGCTTATTTCCGTGTTACGTTTAACTGGAAAAGAAATGTAGCCACGAAATTTGTTGTGCGCGCCTTGCAGGCAAATTAGAAAAATTGTGAAATCGTGAACAGATGAAGGAAAAGGCGTTTCTCAACACCAAGATACACGTTGGCTGTTTTCAAGTTTTGCTTCAGAAGAAATTTATGTCAGAAATCGTATTTTCGGTAGTCTTCAACATTCAGCGATGTGCCATTAAAATTCTAGCGTGTGCAAGCTGTTCAGTTCTAAAGTATCGTCAGATACGGGATCTCTGAGCCCGGTAAGGTTCCTGTCTGTATCGCAGGATATGCGGAAAGTGGAAACAGGCGAAGCGGAGGAAGAGGATTGCCTGACAGTGACGTGGCGTGCCGTAGGGAATGCACCGTCGTACCCTTTTGGTAGAGGCATGACAAGAACCCTGCAAAGTGCTGGCTAACGGACTGTGGTACGCCCCGCAAGCCGACAGAGGGATTATGTTATTCCTATGAGCACCGGATTAAATTCAACTAGGATATCTTAGTATGAGACCCTGTGGACAGTGGTCTGGAAACTAAGACAAACCCAACAATAAATATCTTCTTCACTGCACACGCACTGAGTTGGTTTGATTATAGGTTCATTAATTACTACATTGGCTTGTTACTTAATAGTTTATTTATATTATATGTGATTTATTTAATTATGCTGCCAGTAGCCCAAATTATATCGCGGCGAATGATAGAATGATTAATGAATGGGAATAGATTTGGAAGAATGCGATTTTAAACTTTATTTATGAAAGATACTTTTCTGGGTTTGGGTTTCATGTGGACTCGTCGGTAGATGCTAACTTTTCGGAGAAACGTACTGTTTCCATCTTCAGGGCGATAGATGAAACTTTTCATTCGGTAGCGTTGGTATTGCCAACAGAGTGTATCATAACGCCCAACACATAAAATCGGTTTTATCTGCTGGTTTCAAGTTTATTTTCGCCTTTGAAATAATTGTCTTACGAATATGTCTTAATAATTAACGGCGATAGTCTCTTTGAACACGCAGTTTGAAATTGAGACATCTTCGCTTCGAAGATCAGCATGTCATTTCACTACTCGTTTCCTAAGAGGAGGGCAGAAAAGGCTGTGTTTAAGATATCATGAGTGTTTCTCCTTCGCGTTGGGAGGAGTGCTGCTAATTACCTTGTCGGAATATCGCTGATGAAGTTGTCGTGCTGTGTGCGCCCGAGTGCTCAGTCAAGTCGCTTGCTGTAACGGCGTCGTTATTTCAGCACAAAGCAAAGAATACGCAGTTCTCTTTACGGCCTCGTGTCAGACGAAAAGCTCACTTGCACAAGGTACATGAAATTGGGGCTGTTTCCATTTACCAGTTGCAGTAGTACCAGCTGAAGTGAATTATTCCATATTAGGTAGGAATTTTTGTTTCGGTGTTGCGGAGACAATGTCGACAACTGTAGGATTGCGATGGATTCTAATACACTCTGAAGTATTCAAAAAACAAATCCCAGTACTCCCTAAAACAAAGCTGGAATGAACACAAAGCGAAAATTGTTTGTTTTCATTGTTAAGAACTTACCATGTGATCGAAGCCCAGGTCTTTAGAGTAGCCTCCTGCCTTTGGTATTTCAAAAGTATTAATATTTTACGCTTTCCTCCTATCTCTCATTTTATTTGGATATACTGTGCACTACGTAGACTTGAAAGTAGACATTTTGACACAGATCAAAAGAATTGAGCACAGCCCTACAAAATAAAGACTTCCTTCCTAATGTTTAGAAATTATTCATCGAAGTGCTGAATCCACGAACTTACGA